CCTACGGTCGCAAGTCTCACCTGGGGTGAGAGGTAGATCGTTTTTCTGTTCTCACCCCGGATGAGAATAGCCACTTCCTTAAAAAACCAAACCTCCTAGGATTCGACTCCTTTTTTTAATGATTTGTCTTATTCTGATCAATATTGGGTAGATCTAGAATCTAGACAATTGTTTCTGACATTGGTTGCACAAAAGTAGTCTTGTCCTTGTTCATCTCTCATCGTAATATATAGATCAAGATCTATTTGAGTTTGAGCAAGTAAGTCAAAAGACGCTTGGATACAATAAATAACAAGACGATGCAACTCGGTAAGCACTAATTTCCTGTCTGCAGTGTCGTCATAGTTCACACTAGTCTTCCTAAAACTATTAGATTATCTGTCTCTGCGGGCACTTTATATTTTGCCATCACACATGACATCGCCTGATCTAGGCTTCGACGTTTTAATTAGCAGGGTGTAGTGTCTATGTTGGGTGCAATCTGTCGATTTGCGCGATCCATCGACGGCGCAGCACATTTGGTTGATCGAGGAAACGCGCGACAATCCATCGATTGTTGCGCATTCTGTTGATCAGCGAATCGCGCAGCGCTTTTTGTCGATCCGTGAAATATATACTTACTGCGCATTCTGTCGATAAACTATGATGATGATGAGAATTTTAAAAAAAAAGAACATTGGTTTACTGAGCACCTCAGTCTTTGAGTTTGAGCATCCAAGAAGAGTTGTGTGATGAACTTAAAGTGTTGATGGTTGAGTGAGGCCAATAAATTGACACGACGTCAAATCGAGCACCTTCACTCAGTATTTGGACGGATGTGATTGGCTGCGTATTTCATGTGGTATTCCAAATACGGTCAAGATGTAATGGCTTGTGATAAATTGTTGTGTGTTGATTAAACATTTATTATACAAGTATTGTTTTCTTTATTGTTTTATTGAACAAAAGCACCTCGAGCACAACCAACCTCTCCATATTGAATAAGTGTTCGGAGTGATACTCACCGACCTATAAGTATTAGGCCTAACCCTGATTGCACTCTCAATAATAGCAGTGTCTAAGTACACGATAACCGACGACTCAGGGTCTTTCCACCACCGCTACAGCATCATCATTACTTCCACCACCATATTTGTCTTTCCACATGTTTAATTTGATTTTGTTGAGTTGAGTTTTTCTGTATTTTTTTTAAAAAATCACATCGCACAAAACCGACAGCCGTAGCCCCTTCCCAACACCTCTTCCCCCATAAGCAGAAAGTGCGATCGCTACGCGCAGTCTCATTGAAGTCATTGGTCGAAACAATTAACTTTGCCTCCAGCAAGGTCAGCTCAACTTAGTTTTGTTCATACTAATGACGATCGACGCAGGGAGGGCCAGTTTAGATAGATCTAGAAACTGGATGTTAAAGCTCACGTCTCAATTGTTATCATTATAATCGAAAAAAAAAAAATGTTAATAAATGCTGGAAATATTTAGAAACAAGGGTCGGAAGTCGGAACGGACATCATACTGGACACAAATCAGAGTCCGAATATAATTTTTGTCTATTCGGACTCGAATTGTCACTTGGATTAGTTCGTTATTGTAACCCTGACTTCCAGTTACTTCCATTCAGTTTCGGTTTGACTTTGGAGAGTGAAACTAAATTACACACTGGACGACAACAAAACATAACAAAACTCAGGGGTAAGATCTATAGAATGCGCAACCAATCTGATCGACAAAAAGCACTGCGCGATCCGATGATCAACAGAATGTGCAACAATCGATGGATTGTCGCGCGTTTCCTCGATCAACCAAATGCGCTGGGCGGTCAATGGATCAGGCAAATCGACAGATCGCGCCCAACATCTACGTTCTCTAACGTTAGGCCTAGAGAATGTTTATAATAAATACAAGCTGTCTACATTCTCTAATATTATTACTTCCAAGCGTGGCATCAAATCCCGGTCCCGGAAGGTTTTTTTTTCTTCTCCTGAGCCTGAAAAATAATAATTTTTAAAAATTAAATAATAATAATTCAGACTCACCACAGACAAAGGAAAGCCTTTGAGCTTTAACCACGGGTCTAATTATTATTAGTAAAAAGAAAAGTATACTTTGTAGGTAAAAGCTCCGCTTGGGGAAAGCTTTTTTATTCTTCCTGACTTCCTGTATTATTCCCATCTCCTGAAATTAGAATCAATCAAGTTCTCTAACAAATCAACTACTTCAAAGACTCAACCATCATACTTAAAATGCCATTTTGACTTAAAATGATGGTGTCTACACTGAGCAGTCAAAATGAGCTTTGTGCTCCAATTGGTTTATGTTTTTTTCTTTTTTTCTTTTCCTCTTTCCCGGCATCTTTGTAAAAAATTGTTCTTGTATCCGTGCCTTCCCCCCCCCCCCCCCATAAAATCTCACCAGCTTTTCCACAAGCAGATACTTTCTTTCATGGGATGATTTTAAGTTTGATTTAGATAATTTATAGCCTTGTGTAAGTAATGAAGGCGAAGAGCATGCAAGCTCTATTCACAGAATGAGCATTCTTTCATTCATCCAGTGCCAGATCTGCGACAGACATCGGCGATCATGGTTCTCTCTTCATTCCTTTGCTCGGATGCTCAAAAAGCTGTTTTCCTGATTTTTCCCCTTTACCCATTTGTTTAGGTTCCCTAAGCAGGTTGCTCTGGGCCTAGCACTGTCTCGTGTGCCTTCAATTTTGCCAGGGAATATTAAATGATTGTGAATTATATTGACAAGCTGGTGAGCCGTCCTTAAGGACGGCCGGCCCAGGAGTCTACACATACTTTTAAGAATGGTTAAATTTCCAGGCTAGCCGTAGGCCCTTTGGACTGAAACCTGTTTTGGCCCCAGTCGTATCAAAGGTCACTGTGGGTGCAAAAGCCAAGCTTGATTTTTCATTTCGATCTTTACTTGGCAATAGCTTTACACAAATACAAACTAAAATTTTATTTTCAAATCATTTTTTTTGTGTTGCTTTTTGTCAGTCTAGCCATTATTGAGTACGACTTGCCTGCCAGTCTAGCCATCCTTAAGTACGGCTGGCCTCTTCCTTATATTAATGTTTTTAATAAATGGTTCATCCCCCCCCCCTTTTCACTCAAACTGAAAAAGATGTTGACCTTGTCGGCTCTTTTAGATTTTTGGAAGTTAAATGTTTCTTTGAACTAGATCAGATACAAAATTCATTAAAAACATATTTTGCATACTTTGTGCCATGGAGCAGAATATAAAGACTGTAATAGTGCTATCTATAATATAATTTTCTCTGTGCAGGTGTTTAATGAAGCTTTTTTCTTTTGGCTTCTTTCTCCAGGGTGTCGGGCTATTTAGCCAAGCAGGTTGGGAAGACAGCGGCCATTGCTGTCGGTGGCTCTATACTGCTTATTCAGGTACATGCTGCGGTTTGTGGTCAGCTTGGGGAACTCTATACATTTGCTACTGTGCCCTGCACATGATACAGAATCTAGTGTTCTATTACTTCGTGATTTTCTAGTTGCTTTATAAAAAAAGATATAAAAATCAGGGGTGTAAAAATTAAGTCCTGGGTTTCCCAAAGATGGTGGTCAGGGATTAGGCTTATTGGTTTTTACAGGAGACAATATCCAATTCCTTGTTTTCTGAAAATCGAGTTTGATGAATGTTTTGTAGCTTTTTGTCTAACTCGACATTGTTAAGATATGCATAGTGTGAATTTTACACGTAGGATTATAAATCATATTTTGAAAAAATAAAGTGAATTAGTTGAAACAAAGCTTTTATAAAAAAATCATAGAGTTGAAACATATTCTCTAACAGTTTTTATGCTACTATATTTAAACATATTGTCTAACACTGTTTTTAAAATGCTACTCTATTTAAACATATATATTCTCTAACACTGTTTCTATCATCTATGCTACTCTATGTAAACATATTCTCTAACACTGTTTCTATCATCTATGCTACTGTATGTAAACATATTCTCTAACACTGTTTCTATCATCTATGCTACTACAGTCAAACCTGTGTAAGATGGCCACCCATTGTCAAGGAGAAAAGTGGCTGTATAAGACAGGTGGCCGTCTTAGGCAGGATTGATTAAGATGAAGAAAACAAACCATTCTCATCTGAGGTCCCAATCGAAAATAGCCGCATTGTTGTTGTTTTTGTTGTTGTTGGTGGTGGTTTGTATTTTGTTTTTAATTTTTATTTGTTGCTGATTTTGCACAAGGGTGACAATAAAACGAAATGTATCAGACGAGGAAGACCGAGTGCCATGTTAAAACAAACACATGGGTCTCCACCACTTGGAGAACGAGCGACACTTCTATCACAAGTTCATGTTGACGTCCTTTGTTACTTTGTTACAGACTGGGTAAACAGTGACCACTCATCTCACTTACGATTAGTGGAAGAGTTCTGGGCGGGGCTTATGGGTTATGAGGGATCACACGCTTACCTCACCAACAGCTGAAAATTAGTAGCTATTGGTCAACAGTGGGAGGGGCCTACGCAACATGATCTGTTGGAGGGACTACCTAACAACAACGACAGGTGATTGAATTATGACGGCTCGCCCACCACGCCAGGGGCCAATGCACAATTTATGACAAAACGTAATGGAGTCACAAAGGTGGCCGTCTAAGACAGGTATTATTGCTTAGTGTGATAGGGGTTGTGTGTTAAAATATGGTGGCCGCGGCCGCGTTGAACAGGTGCCCGTTTTACACAGTTAAATTATATAGAAAAAACGCAAGGGGGGAAATGGAAAGTGGCCGTTTGTGCAGGTGACCGTCTTATAGAGGTGGCCGTCAGGGCAGGTTTGACTGTATATGTAAACATATTTTCTCCTTCTGACACTTGACATTGCCTCCACATTATTCTCCAACTCTTTTTTATGGTAAAATAAACTATGTATAATATATATATGTATACATTGGAACTCGGGTTCAATGAAGCTCTCGTGGCCTAGAGGTTCAGGTGTTGGCCTCTCATTCAAAGGTCCCGGGTTCGATTCCGGGTAGCGACCAAAAAATGTTCTTCTATTAAATTGTCTCCTTTCACATCCTTTCCTGCTCTCTAACAATGTTCTGTTGTCTGCTTTCATTTCCACTCTCTGCCCCCACCCCCTCACCTCCTTTGCCCCCTCCTCTGGGCTCCTGACTCTTTCTGCAGTCTTTCTACTGCTACTCCTTGGCTCCTCCTTACTGCTGTCTTTCTGCCACACCCCTGATCTTCTGGTAGGAAAGATCTACACCTAGCCTTCTCGGACAAGGGCGAAAAATTTCGGAGGGCCCGTGTGCAAGTTGCACACGTTAAAGATCCCTTGGTGGTCTAAAATCGATAAGAGTAGGCTTCGACCGCCACCCGGGCAAAATTCAAAATTTCCTACCAACTGAAAATATTAGGTGTGTCCCGCGCGCTCATATAACCTTATGCAGTTGCGAGCGCCGTAAAACACTTTACAAAAAAAAAAAGTTCAATGAGGTCGTCGGGCCTGACCTTCAATTTCGTTGAATCCGAATGTTAATTTTGGCAAATATAAGATTTTTGTGTCGATAATTACAAGCACTAAGCAAGTAATGTATAAAGTATTTGACTTTCTCAATCAAAAGTAGTTTGGTTTGAAATGAGATGCATTTTTCGTTTCTTTGATACTAAAGAATTGATGGAAATTTGCAGGAAAATGCACTGAACTCTACCAAGCGCACACTGTGCAAAAGAGCCGATTTGTTCAAACGCACGCCTGTGTCATCTATCGTCTATGACGTAATGTTTGCCAAACAAGTTACTGTTATAGTTGCTGTGTAGAGCCAAGCATACTGCAACATTTGATTCCACAGTCCTGCATGCAGTTCATTACGAAGATCTATGTCAAGATTAGTTTATCATTGTAATATTGGTCCGTAGCCGGGAAAAGAACAATTGTGTTGCGTTTTTATCTGTACTACTGACATTCCACGCCCGGACCGTATGTACCTCCGGAAACACGCACTCTGTCACACGTCACACATCTGCTGGCCGCCCATCCGACTCCGACACATGCTAAGACATGGACGCGTGATAACAATGTATGTTTTGGTATGAAAGGAGGCCGCCGAGTGGTCGCATTGACCAATTCACCATGCAAGCAACTTCATTGAATCCGAGTTTGCTTGTTTATGTGTTCATCAAATCCTAGTTATTTTAATTTATTTTGATGAATTAAAAAATCGGGGAATCCAACTCTTTTCTGTGAATCCCAGTTTTCGTTGAATCCGAGTTTGTTGAAACCGAGTTTAACTGTATTTAAACGTGTGTATATATATATATATATATATATATATATATATATATATATTTTCTCACTCTGACATTTCCTCCCCTTGATATCACCATCCCCCACCCCCTCCCCCCAGCTGGCCCAGTACAACGGCTACATCACAGTAGACTGGACCAAGGTTCGTCGGGCCCTCACTCGGGCACGGGCACAGGCAGAGAAAGAGTACCGGAAGCGCCACTCATCTTATTTTGAGAGTGTGAGTTTACTTTTCGTTACGAAATTTGTTAAAGATTAGGTTTCAAATGCTGGAGTTGTTTGTTGTTGTTTGTTTAGGTTTTTTTGTTGGACTAAGAAAAACAGAATCAGTCACCTAGAAGTAGAAGTTTTGTTTTGGAGCCTCCTCCCCCGTCCCCACCCAATCCAAATCTCTATGTCAGCAGGATGAATTAGTTGATTCACAATGAGATTCCAGTCTAAACTTTGCACTTACGTGTCAAGTTCATTGATTGATCACCACTACTGCGGTGGTTGGCACTTTTTGGTAGGTTTTCTCTGGTGCATCCACAAAAATGCGTACCATGGACATTCTGAAAGTTTGGACAAAATGCCGTTCCTGGTTGCCTATAAGATGTCACATGTAGATCCTTCTAATTATCAAGCCTATATTCTTCTTTATGGAAATTTATTCTCAAGCCTTGCGTGGACTCTTACAGGAATACAGAATGCTCATAACTGTATCAAATTTGGTAGCACATGTATTACTTTACTGCTAGACTTGCAAGTGATTGATAAAGACAAAACTGGTCTTGAAGACGAAAGTGTGATCTTGTAAAACAAACACCAAAATGACTGGAAAATGGCTGCAAATTTCACTTTTTGATTTAGATTTGACAGTTGCTAAAAGTTATGAGGATATTGTGGGGATGAGGAAAATGAGGAAGGTGACACGATGGAAGAGCCGAGGTCTGAATATGTCTTGAGCGGGTCAGAAGCAGATAGCAAGTCTACCAACACTGGGACTGATGAGAGTCTTATCCAGGCTAACGAGTTTAGCTAAGCTTCAGTATCAGTGCTGACGACGGTAGGAACGCATATATCCCCTGGCAATGAAGGGGAAATTAGGAATTTTGTAACACAGGGCCACACTTGATATTGTTTGATGTTTTGGCACTTTTTTGAGAGAAAAAAAAAATGTAGGCCTACCCTGTTTGGGTATAGACGGTTTTGGGGTTTGTGTTTTTAATGGTTTTTTTTTGTTTTTATCCTGTTATTTCTTGCTTAGGGGGTGGGGTCTTCCAGCTTCTGGGATATGGTTGAAAAAGGTTGCATTATGAGCCTTACCTAAAAAAATTTAAGTTTTTAGCCAAGAGGAAAGCTGTTTTTAGAGTACTTTTTTAGTGTGTTTTGATAGAAAAATGAATATTATATTATGTGATTTTTAAAGTTTCCAATAGATCATACTGCTGCCATTTGTATGAATAAATGCAGCGGGTCACATGACACAGTCTCTAGCTACTGCAATGGTGTCTACTTCTCTTGCAGTGTTCTAGCTGCCTGTTGTTTTTGATGTCCTATTTCTTTCACAGAATGGAATGACCATAAATGTGTTCTTGTGCTTTTCTGTTACTATAAGTAGAAGTGGGTAGTTGATGAACACCCTGGTCTAGCCATTTCCATCTACAATGGAATCCACTCAAACTGAACAGTAATCCGAAAACAACGGCAGACCAAAAAGAAATAAAATCCCCAATTTTTTTTTCTTTTAGATATTGATTTTTGTAAAACTTCTATTTGACCATCCTCTCTAAATGGAAAATACGGCTAAACAAAAGAAAATCTATGGTCCCGCACTTTTCAGTTTAAGCAGACCCTCTGCATGTTTTAGCATGCCTAGCCTAGTATCCTAAACCGTTCATGAGAACATGTGGATAGTTGACTCTCTGTGAACAATTACTCCAGAATACTCACTCTTAACAAGCTTTTCATGCCTAACCTGACCTGCTTTTGGTGTAGCGGTTGGGCGCTTTGCTGTTACATGCAAGGGACCCGAATTCAAAAACATCTGTATTAAATTTTTTAAAATTATGTCTAACTTTTATGCAGTTGCACACGTTATAAATAAAACTCTTTCCAAAACAAAATGTCTAACTTGTTTGGGTTTTTTGCAGGCAAGGAGATTCTACCAAGACAATTTCTTTCTGGCCACGGGCTTTGCTGGAGGTCTCCTGGGTGGATTGTTCATCTGAGCTGGGTTGTACGTTGGGGCCATGGCGGCGCGCCACAGTTTGTTACTGCTGTTCTTTAGCTGAGCGAATGTTGTAAACAATGAGACACAGTTAGGTAACTATCTTTGTCCTTGAGAATCCCTTCAATGTTTTGCAGATTTTTTAGGACAGTTATAAAGAATGATTCAGCCTTATAATATATGACTTTTGTTGATTTTTACTAGGTGCCCATGCTATACTTAGTAAGATTTACAGATTTTGTCAACGGTTTACTCTAGTTCTTAGGTGAATGGTTAATCTTGTTTTTTTTCTTCAAATGCTAGTCTGTTTTAGATGGCTTATTTTCAGCTTTTAGAGTTAAAAACATTTGTGTACAATACAGTATTAGCGTTTACCCGACTGAAATGCATGCATTATATTGATATTATTATACGAGTGGTATTCCAAGGGGAATCGTTCAGTTAGGGCTGTTAAAGTGTTGTCTAATGTCTTTTTCTTGTTTTTGATATATGCACTTTAGTCTCTTGTCCTTTTTTCTTTGATTTTCTTCTTAGAAGAGAATTTTTTGCCCTTATTAAAGATTTTCCCGAGATAATATCTGACTCGCAGAGTTCTGGAAGAGACAAGGGCACAGCCATACGAGTGCTTGTCTATAGATATAATAAGTAAGCAAGGTAAACTCCACAGAGGACAATTTAATAAGGCAAAGATTAAAAAGATAATTTTGTCCCATTTGAAATGATTTTTTTTCTTCATTATAAAGTGCATGAAAATGTATTCAAGAATATAGCCAAATATCAGCTATAGTTTTGTCCATATGGCTCACTCAACGTGATTTCTGTTGTGAAAGAAGGCATTTAAAATTCTGCATCAAATTTATTCTTGTTTAAATTTGTGTGAATCCAAAATATATGATCTAGTCATGTGACTTTATTCGTGCCTTTTACTTTAAAAAAAGCATGATATAGCAGTAATTCAAGTGTTCAAAGTTTTGAAAGTAGGTAGAAAATTCTACAAAGTAAAATATCAATCTGGATTCTGAAGAGCAAATTATTTTTTTTAGAATTTCATATTTCAAATATTCTAATAAACTGGCTTTCCCGGGCACCACAGGTAGATCCTACTTCTTTACCTTCCCTCTGTTTTTTCAGTCTGTCTCTCTTGCTTTTTGCCAGCCCTAAATGACCATCACTGCGTCTCTGTGCTTCTCTTTACTCACACAAAACAAACAAATGTAAGTGAAAAGTGTTTCCCTGCTAATTTATTTTAAGCTGACTCCCTGTGGTTGCATATCTAGAGGGGAATAATTGTCTTGAAATCCTGATTTTGGTTTCCCATGGTGCTTTTGGTGTTTAGTGCATAAACTGTGTGTATATGAAGAGGGTGAGACCACTCTGTGATTGTTTCATGTTTTCTTGGCTGTATGCAGTATGTATTTGTGAATAAATGCCTTTGTTTTGTTTTGTGAGTGATTGTGCACTGTAAAATGTGTAGTAAATAAATATATGGACATTTATGAATCTGGCTGTGTTGGATCTTTTTGTCAGCTTGGGGAGTTTTTTGTTTGTTGTTTTTGTTTTTGTTTAGATGATGCACTATATTGCCAATGAATATGTTGATAAAGTAATAAACAGAAACCCTCTTTTTACATGTTTAATGAAACCTTTCCTTTAACTGTGCCAAATTAAAACTGACCAGCTTGTTTTAGTCTTAGTAACAGTTTTACGGCACTTGCAACACAATGTTACAATCAGTGCTTAAGATTAGTGGTGTTACAAGCAGAAAAGATCAGGAAGATAGATGTTTGATAAGAAAGTAGGGGCAAACCACACCAGAGCACCCACCAACCACCCATATAACCAACTTGTGTCTTGTGGGCTCATATGGCATAAACAGATTATTATTAAGCATTTACTCACGCCACAAAACTTTAATCAAACTGCCATTATAATACGAAACTTGCCTGACAAGCCGCTGTGGACAGTTTCCCCTGCATCTCTTAATGAGAGTTCTTGAGATACCAACTTGAGTAGGTTCAGTTTTTTAGTAGGATTTAATTTTATAATTTAGAATTTTGCCTGGACAGCAGCCTGAAGAAAGCCTACGCTTTCGAATTTTAGAACTGTCAATTAATCTTCTAATGTGCAAAACGTGCACACAGAAGCTGTGGAAATCTGTGGGCCTTCAACAGAGTAGTTTGTCCAGGAGTTTAAGTTTTTTTGTTATTCCGATTTCTTATTATTTTTTTGTTTTTGTACCATACTCTTATATTTTTAAAGAATATTAATTCAATCTAATTTCTTTCTTTACTTTTTTTTCATGTTCTTTTGATTTGTTGACTTGCACACGCAATCTCATGACCATGGTTGAATTAAATCAATAAAAGAAAAGCTTAAAGCCTTATCATTGCTTCTTGTTGTTTTCTTTGAATTTTCATTGGGGTTGACTTTCAATTCTTTACATAATTTTCTTAATAATACATGTAATAATAATTTTTTTAAATGATAGTTATAATGATTATAATATAAATACATGTAGTACATTTCGAACCAACAGAAATACATGTACCTACACAAATCAGACACACATTACTTCATTACGAACTATTGAATTATTATTTATTTATAGGATCCATTATAATCCATGTTGTTGCCCGTCTTTATGTTTTCACAGAATTAAACAAATCTGTGTGAATGATGTATAGCAAAGTCATTAAAAAAAAAAACCCAAGAGATTTGCAAAGGTGCATACACCAAAATCCTGAAAAAGGGAGATAATCCTATAAAAATATCATACCTCTGGGATTTTTTTAGTTCATTAAAGAATAATTCTTTATAAAATGATCGGGAAAAAAAGCAACTATAAATGATATTAGGAAAAGAATTTTGCTTCCTACGAGGCCCAAGTCAGGGGGTCTTCAAATATTGTCAATAATCAGAAATTGCGCCCATTGCTAGTTAATTTTAAGGAATTCCACAGTGAAGGGTAGCCTTTCTTTCCAAAGGCACAGTGGTAAGCACGAGAGGGTGGAGGGCACCACTGGTAGGTCCTACTTCTTCACTTCTTGTGTGTTATTCTGTCTGTCTGTCTGTCTGTCTGTCTGTCTCACTGTTTCCCCAGCACTAAATGACCATTGCAGTGTCGATGTGCTTCTCTTTCCTCAACAATAACAGCTGTAACTGCAGCAACAACAACAACGTTGTAAGTAAGGCAAGCCATGATCCTGACAAATCTGCCAGCCACAATAATATATAGCTCGCCTTTAAAGACATAGTGTGGAAATGTTGTTATTCTCAGCATGTGTAAGTATCAAGGACTACGTGCAGGCCTTAGGCCTCACATTTCATCTAATTGTTTTTAGTCCAATTTCGGTTCTGTGTCATGCTCAGCGGGAGTCCACAAATGGCTGACTTGTAGCTCCGTTCTCGCTGTGTGCTTGTTGTGAGGGCCCGGACAGCAGCGGCAGGAGGATGTTCTTATCTTGTGAAACAGTCGGAGCTGGAGAGATGGGTCGACCTCGTGGGCTTTGGTCCCACCTGAAATAATATAACAACAATATTACAAGTTTAGCAAAGCTGTGAGGAAGGTCTTCTTAAAATCAGGACAAGGCAGAGCATACTTGTACGGTGGAAAAGTGTCAGTATCATCGAGGAAAAAAAGTGTCAAAATCACGACAAAGCAAAGTATAACACATGAAATGTGTCAGAATCACGAGAATGAACCAAAAATAAAGTGAGAATCACGATGAGAAGGGAAAAAAGTGTCGGACGGAAGAGAAAAGTATGAATCACGAGGAAGATTGAAAAGTATCAGAATCACGAGGAAGATTGAAAAGTATCAGAATCACGAGGAAGATAGAAAAGTATCAGAATCACAAGGAAGATAGAAAAGTATCAGAATCACGAGGAAGATAGAAAAGTATCAGAATCACGAGGAAGATAGAAAAGTATCAGAATCACAAGGTATGAAGAAAAATGGAGTCTAAAGAGTTTGGATTTCAAGAAAAGGAGACAAAACGTGAGTCGAAAGTGTTCAAAACACAAAGTGAAATCTTGAAGGAGAAAACATTTTGAATCAGCATCAAGGCCTTGAGCATCCTTCTTTCACTGGAAGGACAGCAGAAGACAAAAGAGGCAGAGGTAGACCAAGAGGAACTTGTTACTGATTCAAGAACTTGATCGGATGGATGGCAGTAAATGACGAGGGCAAATGATAATGTCACTTTTGGTTGGGGGTGGG